TCTAAAACATGACCCAGACGAACTTTTCTACAAAACAGAAATAGACTTATAGAGCATAGACTTGTGCGTGTCAAGGAGGGTGAAGGTGGGGGGGGAAAACAGATTGGAAGTTTGAGACTAGCATATGCAAACTATTAGATATACATATAACTAAATTACTTCACTGTATATGAGAAAGTAATACAGCAATACTTCAATAAAATAAATTTTTAAAAAATAGTCATTCCTTTTTATTGATGATTAGCATTCCATTATATAGATGTACTACAGTTTATTCACTCATGCACTTGTTAATGGATACTTGGGTGTGTCCAGTTTGGGGCTATCATGAACAAAGCCACTATGACTACTCATGTCCAAGTCTTTGTTATGGGGAAAAAATATAATCAAGAAGAGGGGACAAATAGTACCTACTCTACCTGTCAGTCCCCCACGTGCTCCTGAAACCTAAGCTGGGGAGAGGCAGGCAGTACGTAAACTGGAGACCTGACATTTTGTTTTGAGCTGCAGTTACCCTCTAGCAGGGCTTTCCTAGAGGCTCAGCAGTGAAGAATCCACCTGCAATGCAGGAGCCTCAGGAGACATGGGTTCAGTCCCTGGGCTGGCAAGATTCCCTGGAGGAGGGCATGGCAACTCACTCCAGTATTCTTCCTTGGAGAATCCCATGGACAGAGGAGCCTGGCGGGCTACAGTTCATAGGGTCTCAAAGTCGGACACAACGGGAGTGACTTAGCACACATGCACAGACCTTTAGTAGCAGTTCCAACACCGCAAAGTGTCCAGAAAGCTATGGGCTCTGCCAAGTGGCAGACACTGTCCTGGGGAGGGATGCTGTCCTGGGCAACAGAGGGAAAACCAATGATGCTTCGTGATGGTAACTTAACGGGCAGCTCAAGGCAAGAAGGACCTATCCACGCAGGAAGGCAGAAGAGGTCTCTGTGAAGGAAGGAGATAAGTCATGAGATGGCATCTAGGATATAAAGAGAAGTCTTCAGATGACCTGGAATGCAGCAGCCGACAGGGAGGAGCAGCCGACAGGGAGGAGGGTGGCTCAGCAAAGAAATTAAAACACCATGCACTCAGATGGCCACCTGCCCACATGTACCTCCAACCACACCCACAAAGCCCAAGGCTCCAGGGGACTCTGAGATGTTGTAATAAACTCTCCACCCATAGACTGAAAAAGGGCCCTGAGGAAGTCAAGAAACACACTTGGAGAGCTGATGTGACTTGCCCAAGGCCACATAGACAGGACTAAAATTAAAATCTCCTGATTTCTGCTCCAGTCTACTCCTGTCATTAGAGTGATGAATTCTCCAATGAGAGATGCTGTTAAGTGTATTCACAAAATACTTGATTCAAAATGACAATTCCCAGGGGCTCAGATGGTAAAGAATCTACCTGTAATGCAGGAGACCGAGGTTCGATCTCTGGTTCCAGAAGATCCCCTGGAGAAGGGAATGGCAACTCACTCCAGTGTTCTGGGCTGAAGAATTCCATGGACAGAGGAGTCTGGCGGGCTATAGTCCATGGCGTCACAAAGAGTCGGACATGACTGAGTAACTAACACAAAAGGCCCCACTGAAAAATAAAAGTAACAACCACAGCACGTGCATTTGGAGTGCGGTTATGATTGGGACTACAGCTTTCCTCTAAGGCGCAGGTCACTAAATAAACACTGTTAGAAGACTTCCTGGTGGCCCTGTGGTTAAGACCCCATGCTTCCACTGCAGGGGGTACAGGCTCAATCCCTGCTCAGGATACTAAAAGATGCCACAAAGTGCAGCCAAAAAAAATTTTTTTAAAAAGCAGGGGGTGGGGGTTGTTGTTAGGAAACTGCTTCACTTGCAGTGAAGGCCCTGAGCAATCTCTGCACAAGGCAAGGTACTTCTGGTCCAGCCCGCCTGTAGTGTACCTGTTTCTTGCACTGTCTTGGGATTTATCACACTTCATTGACAGGTACAAGAAACTCCCACATTGACACTTTTTGCACAACCTAGATTTTTCTACCTGGAACTGAATCATCAATTCAGGGTAGACCTGAGGCTTCTGTAGGTTCAGAACTATAGCCTCTGTGTTTAAGGGATGAAGGTATTCTTTCATGTAGCCAGAAGGTACTCTCAGCAGGAAGAGGACTCACTCCAGCCAACTCACCCAACTCACTCCGGCCACTGAAACGGTGACATCTAAGAAAATCCCTCAAGCAGCTGGAATACAGCTTAATGAAATCTACACGTGGTTTGTGTCTACTAAGCCTACTGGTTTGCTTACGATTGTCTCTGCACAATCTGCTCATCAGGGCGCTGATTCAGCATAAAGTTCCTCAGGACTCGCTGGACACATCCTATGAATTTCTGTTTTTCTATTTAACAACTTCATTTATTGCTTCTGTGCAATACAGATGCAGTTCTCCATTTACTACCATTCTTTAAATGGTCATTCCTGCTGTTTTCACATGACCTCTTACCTTTTGTCAAGGGAGGCAGAATGCATGTTGATTAAGAAGATACAGGCTGTGGGTCTAACATACCCAGCAGGCAATTTCAACCATGGACTTGCAAGCTAATCATCCTCGCAAGTATTTTATTTTGACTATGCAACGAAATGATCACTGCCCTCTAAAGGGTATGGTAAAGAGTATACTAGATGAACTACACAGAGTGAATATCTACTGAGTGAATGGTAGAAGGATCACCCAAACTATTTAAATTTGCTTTTCTTTTTAGTTACCTAGCCACAGAATTGAATATATATATGTTAAATGCAAATAAGATATATCTTGACTGTATTTTTTAAAACTGGCTACTAATAGCAGCATTATTCACAATCGTGCTGTGGAAACACCCCAAGCGTACTTACAGATGATTGAATAAACAGAGTATAGTACATGTACACAATCGAATATTATTCAATTTTTAAAATGATGGAAACTCTGACACATGCTATAACATGGAAATAAACCTTGAAGATCTTATGCCAAGTTTGTGCTCAGTTGCTTCAGTCGTGTCTGACTCTTTGCAACCCCATGAACTATAGCCTGCCAGGCTCCTCTGTCCATGGGGATTCTACAGACAAGAATACTGGAGTGGGTTGCCATGCTCTCCTCTAGGAGATCTTCCCAACCCAAGGACTGAACCCAGGTCTCCATCACAAATGGATAAATTCTACATAATGACATTTACATGAGGTATCTTGGGCAGTCAAATACATACGGACAGAAAATAAAATGGTGGTTACCAGGGCCTGGGCGGAAGAGGGGATGGAGAGTTATCACTTAATGGGTACAGAGCTTCAGTTTCACAAGATGAAAAAGTTCTAGAGACAGAGAGGGGTAACGGTTGTGCAATAATGTGAACATACTTAGTGCAACTGTACTCTATAAATGATTAAGCTGACAAATTTAGTTGATGATTAAACTGATAAATTTTATATTAACTATATTTTACCATGATTTTTAAAAACAAAAACAAAAAAAATTAGCTGCTTCAATTAAATGCTAGTAAACAGATGTGAGCAACAAGTTACATGTATATTCTACAGTGCAGATTGTTTTCTTTCAGACTAATATGTTAAGATCAGTATTCTGGAACTTACTTTTAGTTGTACTTCATTGTATCAATAAAATAATTTCAACTTTATTAAAATACGTCTGCTATAATGTTTCTCCATCAACATCTCTCCCCAAAAAAGGTGAAAAGAAACACATGAACTAACATGACATTTTCTGGGGTAGTATATTTACCTTCCTAATTGTTTCACTCAAATGAAGACACAAATGTATATTATTTTATAAATAAACACCTACTATCTGCAGAATGCAGAAGTCTTAGGTATGAGGAGAAGCTGGACCAAGATGAAAACTTAGTATGATAATCTACAAAGAATCAGAAAAACCATAGAAACAAGTATGTGAGAAAAATGACAACAGTACCTAGACAAGAAAAGCTTGTAGGGTGGGAAGTGAGGTGGGGAAGACAAAGCATGAACAAAGGGCATAATTTCAGGTAATAATATATAAGTCCTGTAAATTCACTGTAAGCACACTGTGTTAAAGTCTGGCAAACAAAATAAATAAAAGGACAATGTGGAATAAAGTGGATTAATGAATGAGGACTAAAATACCATGGGTTCCTATTCTATACCCCAGTGAATCAGACTCATGTTCAGAAGTTCACATCTAAAATGCCCCTTTCATACCAAAGCTCTAACTATATCCCAGAGAAGACATAAGAGGCTCAATGGACTAAAAAGTTTCTAGTGAATTGCTCACTCCCACTAAGCATGGGATGATAGCCTCCTATATGAAAACATTCAGAATGCTTTTATATCTTAAAAAAATATATAGTTCATATATATATATATATATATATATATAAAAGAAATGAGCTAACAAAAGCCTAATTCTCACTCTAAGCATTTCTAAGTTTTTTTTAACAGCTGATTCTCAAGATGCAGAATAAAATCTGGGAGAGTAACTACAAAGATGTATCACTTCAACAGAGGCTCTTTCTTATCAAGACCAGGAAGGTATGAACCATCTATGAGATGCATAAATATCCAAAAGACACATATTTGAATGCAAAAACAAGTAAACAAGAAGCATGAAGAGCACAGTTGTATAAAAAAGAAAAGCAAACACTCTGCCCTCACTCTCACTTGTGTAAAAAGAAACTTTTGGACAAAAACTCTCTTCACCTCTGAGATTGGGATCCAAGTTTTGAAATATTCATGTTCTACTTTGCATTATTTTTGTACTTTTACATTTTTACCATAAACATGCGTTACTTTTAGTACTAAGATTTTTATGTTGAGAATACCTTTAAAAGATTTATCACCTTTGCTATTAAGAGTACACTTGAGGCCTAATATTTTTAACAAAAGAATATTCAACTTCAAATGGATGTGCACTATCCATAAAGATCACCATGTAAAGAGAATATTTATATACACAATCCATGACAGATGCTATTTGTGGGTAAAATTTCACGGTAGTACAATACCTCAGCTCCACCCATCCACTTAGGCTCATCAGGAAACTCAGCACACAAAATATCTTCTGACTGATCAGTCCCCAACACATGGTAGCAGAGCTTTTGGTGGAGATTGGTGGATGTTTCTGTGCCTGAAGGGGTTAAAAATGTACACTGAAATGCAGCTGACAATTTTAAGAAAATCTATTCCTCCCATACTAGACAATGCTAAAAGGATCTAAAAAGCTAAGTATCTGGTTACAGGATTACACAATACAAAGTTAATATACAAAAGTTAATCACTTTTCTATATACTAGCAATGAAAACGTGGAATTTGAAATTAAAAACACAATACCATTTACATTAGCAGTTCCCAAAATGGAATGCTTAGGTATAAGTCTAAGAAAATATGTATAAGATCTATAGATCAAAAATTACAAAACTGATGAAAGAAATCAAAGAATAAATAAATGGAAAGATATACTCAATATCTTATGGAAAACACTCAGTATTGTCAAGATGTCAATTCTTTTCAACTTGATCTACAGATTCAATGCAATCCCAATCAGAATCTTAGCAAGTTATTTTGTGGATATGGACAAATTGATCCTAAAGTTTATGTGGAAAGGCAAAAGACCCAGAAGAGCCAACACAATATTCAAAGAGCACAAAGTTGAAGAACTTTCACTACCCAACTTCAAGATTTATTATAAGGAATCAAGATGGTGTGGTATTAGCAAAAGAACAAACAGGTCACGAGAACAGAGTAGAGAGAGCCACATAAAAAAAATCAACAGATCTTTGATAAAGGAACAAAGGCAATACGATGAAGAAGAGACAGTCTCTTCAACAAATGGTGCTGTAAAACTGGGCATCCCCATGCAAAAAACGAGTCAAGACAGAGACCTTACACACTTTGCAAAAATTAACACAAAATGGATCATAGACTTTAAAATGTAAATGCAATCAAGAAACTCCCATAAAGAGACTTCCCTGGTGACCTAGTGGTTAAGAGTCCATGCTTCCACTGCAGTGGGCATGGGGTTTGATCCCTGGTTGGGGGACTAAGATCCCATAAGCTGTGTGGTCAAAAAAAAAGAAAACACATGTAAATCCATGGTTGATTCATATCAATGTATGGCAAAAACCACTACAATATTGTAAAGTAATTAGCCCCCAACTTATATAAATAAATGAAAAAAACAAAAAACAAAAAACTCCCCCAAAACTTCTAAAAGATAATGCAGAAGAAAACCTAGATGACCTTGGGTCTGGTGATGACTTTTTAGATACAACACCAAAAGCATGAAAGAAATACCGAAAAGCCAGACTTCATTAAAATTAAAACCTTCTGCTTCACAAAAGACACTGTCAAGAGAATGAAAAGACAAACCACTGATTGGGAGAAAATATTTGCAAAAGACACATCTGATAAAGGACTATTATCCAAAACATACAAAGAATTTTAAAACTCAGCAATAGGAAAACAAAGACCAAAATAAGAAAACAAGTTTTAAAAAGGGCCAAAGACCTTAACAGATCTTAGCCTCCCAAAGAAGATACAGAGATGGAAAATAAGCACTTGAAAAGATGCTCTGCAGTATGGGTCATGGAACTGCAAATTAAAACAATGAGACGCTACGATGTACCTATTAGAATGGCCAAAACCCAGAAAACTCATACCACCAAATGCTGGCCAAGATATGGAATAACAGGAATTCTCACTCATTGCTGGTGGAAATGTAATGGTACAGCCACTTCAGGACATAGTCTGGCGGTTTCTTACAAAACTAAACATAAAAGATGCAGAAACTCTGCTTGCTGCTATTTACCCAAATGGGTTGAAAACGTAAATCAACACAAAAATCTGTACACAGGGGTTAACAGCAACTTTATTTGTAAATGCCAAAACTTGGAAGCAACCAAGATGTCCTTCAGAGGTGAATGGATAAACAAACTACAGTCCATCTAGACAATGGAATGTTATTCAGTGCTAAAAAGAATTGAGCTGTCAAGCCATAAAAACATATGGGGAAAATTTAAATACACATTAGTAAGTGAAAGAAGTCAATCTGAAAGGCTATATACTATATGATTCCAAGTATATGACACTCTGGAAAAGGCAAAGTTATAGAGACAGTAAAAACATCAGTGGTTGCCAGGGGCTGGCAGAGTAGGGAAGGATGCAAAGGTGGAACACAGAGGATTATTAGGCAGTGAAAATGCTGCAATGCTGGATTCATATCATACATTTGCCCAAACCAATGGAAGGTATGACCCTGAGAGTGAACTCTGACATCAACTATGGATTTGGGGTGATTATGACATGTCCATGTAGGCTCGTCTATGGTAGCCTCTGGTGGGGATGTTGATAATGGGGGAGGCTATGCATGAATAAGGAACAGAGGGCATATGGGAAATCTGGGTACCTTCTACTCAATTCTGCTGTAAATCTAAATCTGCTCTAAGAGATGAAGCCTACTCATAGCTACAAAGAAACTGGTGGTTGCTAGAGGGGAGAGCGGTGGGAAGATGGGCAATATAGGTAAACAGGATTAAAGGTGTAAACTTCCCATTCCAAAATAAATGTCACAAGAATACAATGTAGAGCAGAGAGAATTTAGTCAACAATTTGTAATAACTTTGTATGGTGAAAGATGGCAACAACTTATGATGGTTATTTGCCGGGAGCCAACACACGAGACCCTACACATGACAAGGTCACGAGGAGAAAGCCTGACAGGCGAGGCAGATCAGGTTTCCAGGGATTCCAAAAAGCTGCCTCCGGCGCTCACCTTAAAGATGATGCTGTCTTTCTGATGCCTGCTTCAATAGACTACTCCCTAATTTCTGTGACACAGGCAGAAGGCCTTCCCCGATCTCTTCCCAAATAAGAATCAATTTAGAACTTTAATCAATAAGTTTCCCGGGTGGTGGTATTTTATGAGATTATCCAGGGTGAAAGGAGTGTTTTAATTTAAACTCCTTTGCTGGTAGTTTGTTAGCCAAATGCATTTATGCCCTTGGTACTAATATGCATGATTGCTTATAATATCCTAATCAGAAAATAGCATAAAGAACCTGATTATATAAAAGCCCTAATAGACATAGAGCCTTTTTGGGGGTGAAGGAGTCGTATTAGAAAACATAAGAAAAATTATTCTAAAGGTGGTTATTGGGTTGTTTGCTTGCTGTGTTTTGCTTGCTGTGTTTTTGCTTTTAATGTGCTAAGGTTGTGTTATAGAAACCATTGTTAATATAGTTAAAGATCTAGAGAAATAGGAACTTAGCCCTAATGTGGTAACAATGAGATGGTTGTTAATTGTCAGCCAGGAGTGCTAGGCAGAAGCTGCCTCACCAAAGTCGCAGAGTCAGTGTGGGGTAAACTTCTTAGATAAACGCAACTGACAGCTTCTGCAGAAGGATTAATTTTTGTGTTAACAAGGTTATACTTCTACTCTGCACTGTTGCCCTATGAGACTGCTACCTTTCAGTTAAGGTCACCATAGAAACAGAAAATAGGTTTACATTCACCTGACTTGCATAAAATGTTAATAGGCCCCCAGGCCAGAAGATAATGTACAAGACCCTCATAAACAAAGAAGTATGCAGAAAACACCCTGGTTTCGTAAAGAACAAGCTGATGTAATGTTAAACTATCTTCCCCTTAGAAATGTACTAACTTAGGGTATAAAAGCCACGGTGAAAAATAAAGCGTTGCCAGACTCTGATGCACCCCCGTCTGGTCTCTCTCTCTCTCTGTCTTTCTCTCTCTCTCCCTCAGAGACTTGGCCCTATCAAGGATGGTCTCACGTGTCTTCTCTCTCTCTCTCTCACCGACGCCGTTCATCCTGAGGGTATCTCCTGGATCCTGCCGAGGCTGGACCCCGGCAGTTACTATTTTTATAATGCATGAAAATACTGAATAATAATAATAACAAAAAAGATTAAGTCTATTTAAAAAAACAGAGGGTTAAGTATCAGTTGATTATCACCCTGGAAATAATCACACATATTTGCTGATTTTGGAGGTTGATATAATGTTGAAGGAAAAAAGGAAAAGGATATCATCACATAAAAAAAAAAAGTTTTACAGTACTTGGTGATTCTCCATGGGCTTTCTAGGAACATTGGTAAGAAACACAGGACCAGAATTGCTTAGCCTCACTCATTAAGTCCTCTACCACACAACCTAAGAGGCTGTTGAGGTCTTTCAGACAAGAGGACAGCAAAATTACAGCTGGGAGATGTTGGTTTTCTTAAATCAACCATGGTTACTAATTATAACTATTCCTGCCAATGGAAGTTGAGGTTAAATAATAATTTTCATGCTTTTTCAGAAGTTAACTTAATAACACTGTCCTCTAACAAGAAACAGCCAGTGATAAACTTTTTTGGTCTCCTGGGACTTGGAAACAACCAACATTTTCTAACTCAGCAGTACTCTTAAAACAGGCGGCTAATTCAGTATACAGAGCACAGAGAGCATCCTTGAATAAAAAGCCTACTCTTAGCTCCTCCTGTAGTTCATTGGTTGAACCAAGAAAAAGGTACTACAGTAATCTAATCAAAGGCAGCAAAAGCTAACTGTAGCTGAAAAAGATGAAAAGCATAAGAGACTCACTCCCAACTCAACTGAGGGGAAGAGAGAAAAGAAAGTGTATCCCCAACGATACAGCAATTCACGGCAAGGGGACAGCGCGTGCAGGAGAAAGTACTGGACTAGCCTTGCTTCCTGCTAGCTCCATGCACTGCAAAAGTAACAGAGACCCTGCACCCCAGCTCCAAATCTTCAGCAAAGAGATGGTAAAACCCACCTGTAAAGACCAAGCAAGACAACATGAAAATGCTTTACACCACATGGAAATAAGGAATAGCATAAAGAAGATGATGCTGACAGTTTGTACCAGCAAGGTTCAAGCTATAGGGTCCTTCCTACCTAGGAAGGTGAGAGGTGAAGGGAAAAAAGGGGACCAGTTGCATACAACAAGATCTCTGTGCAACTGAAGAGGAGACCACGTGTCCCGGAAGTTAACAAGGACAAAAGTGTCAAGACAAATGTGACCAACAGATGACCTGCAACTTCTGAGGAGAGGAAGAGATGTGATTACTGCAAAACTTTATCATCACTCATTATACCTCATTAAATAAGTCAGTTTTATTAGGAAAAAAAATCCATTTTCTCCATGACCCTCTTGGGAGAGAGACTACATCTGTGAAGAACAGACACTGCCATAAAAATGGCTCCAATTTTTCACAGTTCCCTGTATTTGTTTCCCACCCTGGAATGGCCCTGTGACTTGCTTCGGCCAAAAGAAAGCAGTTAAGTGATGTTCCAGGAGTAAGCCCAGGCAGCAAGGAGGTCGTGCCTTCTGGCCCTCTCTTGGGAGACCTGTTGTGCACAAAAGCCCGGGCTGGCCTGCTAGAGGCTGAGAGGCCACATGCAGCTTCACGGAGGCCCCGGACATGTTTGACTGACTGGCAGCTACTCACAGGTACACGACAGAATTCAGCTACACCCAGAACTGCCTGGCCAATTTGCAGACTCACGAGTGAAAATAAATGGTCATTATTGTGGACCACGAAGTTTTGGCAGGATGTGTTACACAACAACAGTAACGGACACAACGTCCTTCAAGGAAACATGGTTCTAGACCAAGCAACCTCTACGTAGGGTCTAGCTTCTTCTCTAAGTCATGTGGCAACACACTTCATTTCATGAAAAAGGTGCTTCATCTGAAGTCTCAACCTACCATCACTTTTCCCATCCTGCTGCGGGTATGCGTTGTAGAACATCCCCTTCCCGTCATGGGTCCAGGCCATACAACTGAACTTGACTCTTTCAAGCACATCTGGAAGCTCTTTGGCACCATCGACTTTCATGAACTTGATGGTCACCCAGTCAGAGCCACTGGCACTCAGACCATAGGCAAAATATTCACCATCTTCACTGAATGCATAGCCTAAGGGACACAGGAGAAATTGTCAGTGAACACGGGAACACAACTCCCAGCCTTGCCCACCATCCACCAGGCTGACAAGGGTTTCTCTGTCACACATGGAGGCGGAAAGCAGCAACAGGAGCAGGCAACTGGTAATGAGAACTCTTGGGGCTCACCCAAGACTTGCAGGAATTTGTCTTATGACCTTGGACAAATTCCCTAATCTTTCCAGGTCTTAGTCTCTTCATCTGTAAAATGACATACTGAATTATATGGTCACTGGGATGCTTCCATTTAAAAATTTCTATAATTCAATAAGTAGCTCATTTAAAAGCAGAGCTCATCTGAGATTTCAGCATATTTTATTTCTATTCAGAGGGAGGGGAAAGGGAGGAAGGAAACTGCTCTAGAGTAATGCCTGAATGTAACAGAACTAAACTGGAGCCATTATCTAATTTTTGGAATGGATTCCAAACTACTTGAAATCACGCCTTACTACCTCATTTTCTGAGAATTGCTAGCATGCAAGGATTAACATCCACACCAGCTGACAACCAAAAGCCCAGGTAAATGAAGCCTGAGGGTTTGCAATAAAGACTCATGCAGTGTATAGTCCAAAAGTGACAGTGAAAAATAAGGAAAGCAACACCACTGATGGACTAATGCACTATGTCCCACTCTCTGGGGCCGTCACAGACAGAATGTCCTAACCACTGTGGAATGTTTCTTGACAAATATTTATGTTTAGGTTGGCTTTTATGATCATAAAGAATGTGTAATATTTGGCACCAGGCACCAGAGATATCCTCTTATGATGTCTGCTAACCTTCACTGGAGGCTGAAAATCATCCTAAGAAAACAAACTATTTTCAGAAGTTTCCTACTATTTTGAGAGGAACTTCTATGAGTGAAAAATAAAGTTAAAATTTCATAAAACCTATTTATTAATCACTTATAATTCCTATAAAGCATCCAGGCTCATATGTATATAAATACAGAAAAGGGTCAAGAAAGTGATGGAGTAAATATTCATTTTTTAGTCTGCAGAAGTTATATATAATTTTAAAAATTTCAGGGAAAATGCAAATAAAATTTTTGACTTTAAAACGTATATTTTAAAAAAAATCATATAGTATGAAAAGAATCTGAATGTCTGTTGTTGTGTTAGTCGCTCAGTCGTGTCCAAGTCTTTGCAACTCCATGAATTGTACTTGCCAGGTCCCCTCTGTCCATGGAATTCTCCAGGCAAGAATACTGGAGTGGGTTGCCATTTCCTTCTCCAATAGTATGGTCTTCAGAAAACTCAAAGACTGAGACCAAGTTCCATGTCTAATTTGCCATGTTACTCATCAGGGACTGTACATGACAAACATTACAGAAAAAAACTTTTGGAATGTATTATTTAAGTGAAAAACAAGACCCTGTCATAATGAAGTCCTTCTGGGTGAGTTGCAAGATAGACTTTGGTTAAAATGAAGTGAGTTTCTATTTAGAGTGTATTACTGCACAGTATCAGTGTATTAAATTCTTTCACAACTCCAAGATCAAATTCAACAAACAATATTCACAATAAATTTGCTGGCATCTTATTTCCAATACTGATTATGATTACTCTCAATACTAATTTGGCATCTTATTTCCAATACTGATTATGATTACTCTCAATACTAATTAGACTAAGGATCATCATTTACATATACAGCCTAGTGGGGGAGAGGAGGAGGAAGCACTAAATGACTGACTGACTTTATAAAGGGGTCTTTGCACACATCTGCTGAAACAGGGCTCTTTAATTCCATCTAATTGATTACAGGACTTCAGAGTTTCAAGTGCTCAATTTTGTAGGGCTGAATCTACATTTGTGCTTTTTCAAAAATAGTATATGCTGAGCCAACTCGACTAAAGAATACCAGTCAGTGATGATTCTCAGACTGTACAATTTTTAAACCATAGATACAGTGTATAGACAATATTCTTACCCTAAAGTTGGGTGTTTATGGCACAAAGCTGGGGTAATCTTATTGACTCTGGAGGTTATCTTGGGGGAAGTTACTTAGGAGACATAGAGCAACTGAATACAGATCTTTGCATATAGCAAAACTTATTTATTCAGTTTTTAAACTTGCATCCTCAGGGGACAAAGCATCAAGTTGTCTAATTTCTACAAGACTGTGTTTTATACTTTTAATCCTAACATCATAACAATCAACTAAATTTTAAAACTCATCACTTTTTCTTGTCAAGGAAGTAGACTTCATATTCTTTCCTGTTTTACATGTACAGTTAAAACATTCTCTGTACAACTTAAATTTCTTGAATTAATTTTTTTTCCAAATACAGATAGGTCTCAGGATGCTATAGGAAGTGGTGATGATACTTCAAGATCCCAGAAGCCCTAGAAGCTAATTTAGGTCCAGTGTGAATTATTCTCTAGTTCTGCTTCATGCTGTTGGAAGGTGTGACCACTCATGTGTTCTAAATATACTGTGCCGAAATCAGCTTTCCTGACACTGCATGTGCGTCTGTTCCACAATATGGTTCACACTCTGTCTGGTCTCTCAGAGGTGGGATGACTGCACCCACATCAGAGCTGTCAGCGTGGGCCCCAGGACTCCTGCGGGCCTGGCTATGGAGCCCTTACCTCGGAGTGCCACTGTGCCATCATCGGAGAGTATGTTGGGGTCGAGGAACACTCTGGCTTCACCCTCTAAAGAATCCTGTACATATAACACTCGTTGGTTCTGCAAACCTGTATTATAAAAATAGAAATACCTGGGGGACAGAGATGGTCTTTACTTAGTTGTGGAGTAAAACCAAACACATAAAGACAAAAGGATAAACAACATAGAAAGGTACAATTGCACACAGGCTGTGCCAGGGGACTCGAGTGGAAGGTCCCGCCAGCTCCCTATCCCTAGAATTTGTTACTTGAATTGCTTTAGGTACTAAAATAATTCACTGTGATTCTGCACATCAGCTAAATAAAGTCTGCTTTATATGCTAAAATGAAAACTGATATTCAGTAAAGCAGTAACTTTTTCTTTTCAATGGAGCAGACAGCAGATTTGCTAAAATGTACCAGTTCCCTTCCTTAGTCATGCTCCTAGGGCAAGGGGCGGGCAAACCTTTTCTGTAATGAGCACGACTGCAAATTATTTAGGCTTTGGGCACCATACAGACTCTATCCTGCAGTTGTGGTACAAAAGCAGCCATGAATAACACACAAGCAAATGGCCATGGCTGTGTGCCATTTAAACTTCATTTGCAAAATAGGAGGTGGGCGAGGCTTGGCATGCAGAGCATACTTTGCTGATCCCCGTGTCGGGGGAGTCTAATAATTTCTAAAGTAAATCTGTGGCAGTGGTTCCAAAAAGACTTAAAAGGCGAACAAGAGGCTATGTTTTAAGTGAGTGTCAGAGGGAGAGGAACAAGAGAGGTGAATTAATGGGTGCTCCCTCTTGGCCTACTGCCATTCTTGGATGGAAGAAATGCATCTAATAAAGTCTTTTCATGTAGTATAAGCCAAAGAGGATTAATTTTAGAGGCAAATAAATCTCCACTGCTGTCTATGAATCATGCTATCTCACCAATTACTAACCACAAGACAACAATTACTTCCTATAGTCTAGTTTCATCCTAGGACACATTTCTGCCAAGTTTCTTAGTCCTTCTTTAAAGAATGTGGACAACAGACCAAAGAAATACTATTTTCATAGTCAAGCATAGAAATGAATTGATTTTATAATGTTTATAAAGTTTATAAACTGGTAAGTTATTTGGAATTTGTACTGTAAAATTTAAGAGAGTATTAGATTAGAAAAGCAAAAAGAAAATGAAATGAAAGCAAGTTCATATACCTTTTCCCTTTCTTGAAGTGGCAGCTATACTTGGGATAGTCATACAATTCAGTCATTCTCTCTTTGTATAAACCTCTGATAGGACACTGCTCAAGAAATGGCACGGTAATCTTGTTCTGGGCCTCCACGAAAGCCTGGAGAGAAAGTTTAAATGAACAAAGCATGTCATATATAAAATTTTCCACATGGAGTATCATCCATTAATATTACCAGCAAGATTTAGCAATTTCACTCCGGCGACTGTATCCTAAGGAGACAAAAACATTATGCTGAGGAGACAACTGACCCCCATGTTGACAGCAGCATTATTTAACAATAGTCACAGCATGAAAACAACGGAAGTGTCCACTGACATGAATGAATAAAGAAAATGTGGAATACATATAGACAAGTATAACTCAGTCATAAAAAAAGTAGGAAATTCTGCCATTTGTGATAACATGGATGGAACTTGAGGACATTAAGTCTAACGGAGAAAGATGAACACTGCATGATCTCACTCATATGTGGACTAATGTAAAACAAAACCAAAATCCAGAAACTCACAGGAAAATCAGATTTGCCGTTACTAGAGGCAGGAAGGAGATAAGGCAAGTGGGAACTGAATGAAGGTGGTCAAAAGGCACAAACTTCCAGTTATAAGACTGCTAAGTACTAGGCATGTAATGTACAACATGACTATAACTGACACTGCTTTAAGAGATATAAAAGTTGTTAAAAGAGAATAAAATCCTGAATTCTCTACCCAAGGAAAAAATTTTTTTTTCTTCTTTCTTTTGCTATCTGAATGAGTTGATGGATGTCAACTAAACTTGTTCTGGTGATCACTTCATGATACATGCAGATCAAATCATTATGCTGTACACCTTAAACTTACACAGTGCTGTACCTCACTATAATCTCAATAAACCAGGAAAAAAGATTAAAAAAAATATATCAGCAAAACCATACTTTCCCTCAATAATAACAGTAATACTCACATGGCACTCTGTACCAAGCAAGTATTAACTCATTTAGAACTCATGTTCCAATGGAGAAGGTTCTTTTTCAGCCCAACTTTCTGGATGGGGAGACTGTGTCTTAGAGAGGTTCAAAAGGTGACGAACACTGTGCAGCTGGGAAGTGGCAGAGCCAGTTCTTGAATCTGCTCTCAGTGAACACACTATACCACTGCTCAGATCATATGCTGCCAAGAAAGGGCACTCACCCCAGGCCAAGGCTCCCGGCCTCTCAGCAGCCACTGGTCCCCAAATATCAGATATAAAGAAACCAAGCTAGAGACACAAGCTAGAGATACCCAGGCACTATCTAACCAAGCCAGAAATACCCAGGCACTATTGTCTAATCAAGCCAGAGATACCCAGGCACTATCTAACCAAGTCAGAGATACCAGGCACTATCTAACCAAGCCAGAGATACCCAGGCACTATCTAACCAAGCCAGAGATAATCAAGCTAGAGATACCTAGGCACTATCTAACCAAGCCATAGATACCCAGGTACTAGCTTATCCATTTTGTTTTTGACAATTTTTCCAAGACCTACTATCCTTGTCAACTCAAGAACTTTGCTAAATGTTGAAATTATACAATATTTTTTTTTTTTTAAATTGGAAAGTGGGTGGCACTGAGTAAGTTTATTGACAATAATGGTTTGTAAGAAAAGCCAGAGGTAGCCTCAGGAGGTCAGGAGACCCTGGCAGAAGAAGTGACTGTTTCTACAATAGATGGGTTGTATCCAAGTTTAACCTGTTTATAACTAAGCAGTCAGAAAGTTTATAATACTCTAATAATACTGTAACACTATAAAACCTGGGCTTCATAACAATTCACATCTCACTATTAGAAATGAAGCGTGAATAAATGTATAAGCTCAACTGACGGCTGAATCAGACATCTATGCAAAGGCAAACCGTTTTGATAGGAGAAAACTTCAGGAAAGCGACAACTTACTACTATATTCGGAGCGGCACACAAAAAATGCATTATTGTCAGAGTCCATCCAGACCTAAGGGCCCACCCAGCTCAAGATGGTCTTTAAATGGGCTCTTCTACACAAAGCACCAGCCCCGGGCTGGAGAACCATGATTCTGCGCTGAGAGAAAGCTGCTCTAAAACTCAAGGTTTATAATGTGCTTGAAAATAAGCGGGAAAGAGTATGATGTACGAATATAATGATTAACAAGAGTTTTGCAAGAGGATCAATTCAAGAGAGAGAAAACTGTTACGGGTCACATTTCTCATTTAATTCAAACAAAAGATAAAACTGAGTCCCAGAGAAATACAACTCCAACCGCCTATCATAAGGGATTGGCAAACCTCACCATGGCCTGCTTTCCTATGGTACTCGAGCTTAGAATAGGTTTTATATTTTTAACAGCTGGGTGCAGGCAGGGGTGGAAAACCTAACAGCGACCTGGGTGACTCACATCATCTAAAATATTTCCTATGTGGCCCTTTATAGGAAGTTACACAACTCCACTCTATCTCATTACAAAGTGTCCACAAAGATACTTTTTGCTTTTTAGTCACAAAATTGATGCACAGCTGCCCAGCCACAGGTGGCAGCACTCTGGGGTGTGTGGCGCCTACTCCGGGGGTGTAGTGTGTGTGTAGCACCCTGGGGGGGTTGGGGTGTGGGTGTGTCTGTTAGTCGCTCAGTCATGTCTGACTCTTTGCAACCCCGTGGACTGTAGCCCACCAGGCTCCTCCGTCCATGGGATTCTCCAGGCAAGAATACTGGAGCGGGTTGCCATTTCCTTCTCCAGGGGATCTTCCCAACCCAGGGATCAAGCCCAGGTCTCCCGCATTGCAGGTGGGTTCTCTACCATCTGAGCCCCCAGGAAGCAAAAGCATCACCTGATTTCACGGGAGAAGCAAACTGGCCCTTTGGACATGACCTTCCCTTCTGTCCCTGGCCTCAGTCCCGAGCTCCCCTCCCAGCCTCTGTCTCTGCTGGGTCACCTGTCCGCAGTGTCCGTCCCCCCATCTCCGTGGGAGGCGGGAGCCTCAGCAGCTCAAGCCCCACTCACTGCGGGCTCCGGGTCACCCTGGGTGTGCTGCCTTATGGACGTGGAAACGGAGGCAGGTGGCAGTAAGGGTCACTCAGAGAGTGAGCAACCGCACTGAAGCCAGAGTTATGCTCTTTCGGTCACTGTAACAGCGCCCGAGGCTGACTCCTGGCCTGCCACTCGTTCACCTTTTCAAAGGAGTCCTCTTGCTCAGGGTGGAGGAGGGACTCTGGGGGAGCAAAAGTGGAAACAGGGACGCTGGTTAGGAAGCTCAGGCAGTAGTCTGGTGAGACAAGTCCGTGTAGAATGGCCGGTCTCAAAAAGGAGCAGGGATGGAACAGAGGGGAGGGGTGGGGACAGAGAAGACGGGTAAGCCCACGCTGACATCTCGGTCAGATGGCTGGCTACTAGAAGGGTCTCAGCAGAACATTCAAGCCACTGAGGGCTCCCACTCCGAGACCCAGCAGACTTAGGGTCCTAGAAGGACCCTTTCCACTGGGGGTCCTCTGTGGAAGAAGCCCTGCAGCCTTCATTTCCCTAGTCCTTCTGATTTGTGTTTCTACGAGGCTGCACCGAGGCCTGACCCTGGCTCTAGGAGGGCCACAGTGGATCCATGAGTCATAGATCCTTAGTTCATTTTCCCTGCAGAGGTGACCTGTGCTCACCCATGGATTCTCCACGCTGCTTGGCTTCTCGGTACAATCACAACTGCTGCCACAGAATCCATCCCACACCAAAGCAGACATACTGGCTTTTCTCATATAAAGTGTCCGGAAAACCATCACAACAGTCATAACAACGCTACTAAATAACCAGGCTCATTATATCCCATATGTCACCCACAAATGTTCAAAGAGCAATATTCAAAGATGACACCCTTCCAATACCTAGATGCAAACAATCTTCAAGTTCTTAACAGTCTAAGTTCTATCATAACGTGCATCTTTATAATATGAGCAGGTCCTTTTCATGAGGTGCAGATAAATCTTCTGTTAAGGGATTTGTGAAATTTATGGTCCCGAAGAATACCAATAATGACTTCTTGGTCATTTATGGATTTAACAGTCTGGCTTCTTGGTCTGAAAAGTAGAACACATTTGAGGGAAAGGAAGAAGAGGTATAAGGATAATGAAAAGAAAAACTTGAGCAATTGCATGATGATAAAGAAGCAGGGTGAGGAGAATTAAATACTTCTTGTCCCGCAGGAGTCTCAGTATCCAAACTCATACTCCAGGGTATTATTAAAATCACTGAAACTCGAAAGCCCATGAAATGACACCAGCAGCTGAGCTTTTTAAAGAGGATCACGAGTTTAGATTTTATAGCCGTGGATGAGTCTGAACACATTTTTCTAAGAATAGTTGCTCAAAGCTAAGAAATCCAATTCACATTTCATTTTGCCTTAACTATTAGAAACCTTCAAAGGGAAGTTTCAGTTATGTAAGACGACTAAATCCTAGAGATCCTCTGTACAACAGTGTTAACGATATTATGCTATACACATTAAACGCTGTTGTGAGAGCAGAACTCATATTAAATGTTCTTACCATAGTTTAATAAAAAGTAAACACAGCTACCTGGCCAAATGTCACTCAGTTTGGGAGCTAGAGATGCCTTTACTTTTACTGTTTCCAGAATTTTTTTCAAGTTATCCTCACATCAATCCACTAAATATCTCAGGTCCTTGCATAAGCACAAGTCTTATGTATACGAATAAAGAGGATGTACAAGTTACTTATTAAGTAGTGGTGGCTCAGTGGTAAAGAATCCAGCTGCCAACGCAGGAGACGTGGATTCAACTCCTGATCCAGGAAGATCCCCTGGAGAAGGAAATGGCAACCCACTCCAGTATTCTTGCCTGGAAAATCCCATGGACAGAGGAACCTGGTGGGCTACAGTCCATGGGAGGGTCACAAAAGAGTCAGACATGACTGAGGGACTAAAAAACAACACAGAACATCACAATGGGCAATACAGGATTAAAAAGATGAATCACACACACAAAGATAAAAGCTCTAGGAGAACAAATGAAGGGAAAGCCACTCCCAGGATAGGGTGGAGTGGGCCTCAGAGAGTGGGGCAGGCAGGCAGTCCGATGACAAAGAGGGACTTCCAGCTGGGAGAC